CAGATTGATTAACTTTCTGACTTATTTAACAGGATAAACTTTCTGCTACCAAAAGTGGATACTGAACAGATAAAGAGGCAATCCTTTGACAAGTCCACACTATAACAAAACCCAAGAGCATTCATTCAGTCAGCTTGGAGGAAGATACAAATAAAGCAAGCAAACATCTTTCCAAATTATTCTTCTATATTTATTAACTGGAACAAGCTATTGAATCAAAACACTCCCTATCACCAATGAGAAAGGATGAAAGGTTCATATAGGCAGAATTGTATGATGATAGCAGTGGCTAAAACAGGATCCTCTGAAAGCTTGCAAGCATGAGACAAAGGAGAAGTCTTTCTTACATACCACACTGAATCATAATGTAGTTTGTTTGATCTTACCCTACTACAATGTGTAAACCCAGCCACTATCTAGTATTCAGAGGCATGCTACCTTTGAATATGAAGGTTCAATTCAGCCATCAATAACAGCAACTCTGTATGGCAGGATAAATATTAGATCTGGCTAAAGAGGAAAGAGATGCTCTGAGTGCCTCTTGAAAGAAAACATTTTGGGCATGTCACTTGCTCTATTAACCAAAGCTGGAGACCAAGAGAGCAATGCTATTTTGTTCACATTCCTTTCTTTCTGCATTTTTTTCCTGAGAGCTCATGACATATTTTTCTTTAACTATTAATAATCCTGTTATTTTATGTTACTGATCAGAGTAGGAACATTAAAAGGTGGGGTATTAAATGACTTATATTGACTATTTTACAGCCATTTACTTTGTCCCATACCTGGAATCAAAATCCTATTTTTTTTTCCCATTCAGGGCACTTCCTATACTTCACTGAATCCAGAAACTAAGCCACAATGTAATATATGTACTCATTAGCCATTCTGAAAGACACCCACAAGTTGCACTTTGCTTTCAAACTATATAAACACCAGGAAGAGCAAATCTGTTTTGTGTATTTGAAGTGGGAAAGTTACATTTATTAATACAATAATTCACAGTTCTTTTTGTATGCACTTACATTAACTCATATATACATACTTCTATAGAAGGAACTGACCACAAGTATAAAATGCTTTTATGTCACATTCTTTATTTACTTACTTACTTACTTACTCATTCATTCATTCATTCATTCATTCACATTCTACTTTTCATAAGAGCACACAATTTTCCATTCCTTTCACCTTCACACCAACCTGTATGGTGGGTCGGAAAAGTTAGTATTCCTTGCTAGAGAGCTTTTAAGCATTTATATTGGATGCAAAATAGACCTTTCAATAAATATTTTTAATCAAAATACAGC